GAAAAAGTAAACTACAAAGCGACTCCTTGCGAAGAAAATCGAAAGAAGATCGAACAACAACGAAAATCAACGACGACTCAGGATTCTCCTGTAAGACGGTTACAGACATCAAACGAAAGAACTCGTACTTAGAACAGTGTGCGGACAACGAACAAGTTTATTCCGGGGAAGCAACAAATCAGAATATATATGAGCATGCGCTCTACACTCTATCAGAAGATAAACGACAAGAAATTGAAAACTGGCTTGATGAATGCGAAAGGGCCAAACCCAACTGGTTGCCGGTACCTGGGGATCCCAATGAAGAGGAATCGCAGCGATTGGACTCAGGATCACCGGAAGTGGACGGAGAAGTGGAAGAAGTGAAGATGCCATTTGACGATACCGCCAAAATAAGAAACTTAGTTTTTCAGGTTGAGGAAGAGTAACTCACAATTGAAGTTTTTTCCCAAACTTTGATCCACATTGGATTGTGAAAAAAAGAATAGTTAAGTTACTCTGTGTAGCTGCATGAAGGCGCCCGATATTCTGGTGAATAAATAATGCAAACCCGGGCGTTTTACATGGGGTAATTGCTTTCAAAATAATGCGTATTGAAATTTACAAAAGTGTTAAAAATCGAGTACAGTTGAAGTAGTTGTTAGGCATTGCTTTGTGAAGGTAGGTACGCTGTGTTGCCTTTCGTTAAAAAGTTAATCTTTTCGAGAAAAAAGCTGTTTCCATGTCATTCAGTATGGTTTATTTGATTTTAAATAATAATATAATGCTTCTAGCATTAAAGCGGGAGGGTCGCCACCTGCGTACGCTGGTGAGTCCCTAGCGACGATAACAACACACGCTAAAAACGACACGCGATAGCCGTCTGACGCATGCGCAGGTAACGACATCCCCGCTTTAATTGATATCAATATTTTGCATGTGCTAAATAAAATCATTCGAAAAGCAAAACAATCACCACCGAGTTTGGCACTAAGTGGTGTGCTGGCTATCAGTCTGCAACGTGTGGTACGCTCACGTCTCAGCACCGAGTGGTGTGCTGGCTTCCTTTCGGCGCTAAGCGATGATCTGGATCCTCGGCACCAAGTGGTGTGCTGGATCATTGGCTCAAAACGTGGCGTGCTGACCTCTCGGTACTGAGTGGTGTGCTGGCTTCCTTTCGGCACTAAGTGATGAGCTGGATCCTCAGCACCTAGTGGTGTGCTGGATCATTGGCCCAGAACGTGGCGTGCTGACCTCTCGGCACTGAGTGGTGTGCTGGCTTCCTTTCGGCGCTAAACGATGAGCTGGATCCTCGGCACCAAGTGGTGTGCTGGATCATTGGCCCAGAACGTGGCGTGCTGACCTCTCGGCACTGAGTGGTGTGCTGGCTTCCTTTCGGCGCTAAACGATGAGCTGGATCCTCGGCACCAAGTGATGTGCTGGATCATTGGCTTAAAACGTGGCGTGCTGACCTCTCGGCACTGAGTGGTGTGCTGGCTTCCTTTCGGCACTAAGCGATGAGCTGGATCCTCGGCACCAAGTGGTGTGCTGGATCATTGGCCCAGAACGTGGCGTGCTGACCTCTCGGCACTGAGTGGTGTGCTGGCTTCCTTTCGGCGCTAAGCGATGAGCTGGATCCTCGGCACCAAGAGGTGTGCTGAATCATTGGCTCAAAACGTGGCGTGCTGACCTCTCGGTACTGAGTGGTGTGCTGGCTTCCTTTCGGCACTAAGCGATGAGCTGGATCCTCGGCACCTAGTGGTGTGCTGGATCATTGGCCCAGAACGTGGCGTACAGACCTCTCGGCACTGAGTGGTGTGCTGGCTTCCTTTCGACACTAAGCGATGAGCCGTTTTCTGGGTGCCATGTGGTGTACTGTGCAGGCTCTCTGTGTAGCATATTAAAACGTGGTTGTTCTGGAATCAACCGATACACTTATATTTGTGTTGTGTACTGTTTTCAGGTATGTACTGCCCTATATTGCATTCTTAAAATGTGTGTATATTTTTACAGCATTTACAAAATGTCAAGATTACTGTTGCAAACACTCGATATAAATGAATGTTGTGTACCTCAGAGCTCAGTTCTGAATTTTACTGTTTCAAAATGGTCGAAATATTTTTTCATTTTTGACTACAACTTGTGTGTGGTGATGTATGGCGGATTTAATTTTAAATCGTCATTTCTAAGTGAAGTGAACTTACATACTGACGCTCTCATTATATATTTGAATATTCTCGACACCGGACTTCTTTACTTTGTTTTGAAACTAGCGTGAACGGGCGTGTATTCATCCGCCGCTACGTTGAGGTAATGAATGGTATACGCTTAGCTCATATGTCAAGCCTGAACGCTGGAGACAAAAGTCCTATACATTGATAAACTGGGTTTATTTTAGATACATTCAGAAATACGTGCAATTGTTTTTCAATGTAAAGACATTTTGTGTAATTATAATAATTTATCTCGATTTAAAAGTTAATTGCAAATTGGAACTCAGTTTCTACACAGGTTTATGGTACTACTTTTGTTAAAACACAGATTTATGGAAATCTATAAATATGAACACGTATTTACCAAATTATTGCAGTTTGCACACTTTTTAAAATTATCGATCTATAGTTTTCTAATAATTGAATGACTTTGTTTTATTTTACAAACAAGTTCGATATAGATCAAGTTGTGTTTTCCAACATAAGTGAATGTGAATTAAAATACATAGAGCAAAAGTCAACATACATGAATATATGGTTACATTTAATTGCCAGAGTTTGAATATACATGAACGAGAATAGTATTCCAGATGTTTTGTCACGAGAAACTTGTAAACGTTTCTTGTTAATAGTTTGTAACATCCAGATACTTATTTCGTAACATCCAGATGCACAAAAAGTTGTATTCTGATAATTTCCAGAATTACGTGAAAGCGGACTAACTGTCTCAGATATATTGTCTGCATTCGTTTTCCAAATTAAAACGCCGAACGACGATCCGAGCGTGGCCTTTAACATTTTATTTTGTTCGGTACGGAATCAAAAGCAAGTACTACGTTTATCCGGGATACCATTTATTCATTTGTCAACCATCCTATATAAAAATGTCAGCAAGCTTCAGTGAGAACACATCATATATCAAAGCAAAACAATTCGTTTTTGTTGTCTTTTTTAAGTGATTCTCACAGAATTGTTAAAGCTATTCTTGTTACAGGTAGGGAGGAGCATGATACAAAAAACTGATTTTAAAGCCTTCCATTGTCGCTGCATTTAGTATGTTCACACAATGTATTGTTCTTCTTATATGGCGGATTTTGTAATGATGTATATATCGACTGGTGCCGTTTACAACGTCTATCATTTATAATTGCAGAATGCAGTTTTGAATTAATTTGAATCATACATGCCGTCCATGATAATAAAAAAACATTATATAAAAAAATGATAAAGATTATTTATATCATATATACTTATGTAAAGTTGCATATTCTATTATTAGTTTGGAAATAAAAAGGTGAAATGAAACCAGTTATATGACTACGACTACGTTTTTAATTTTTTTTTCGATATTTTTTTCGACAATACGCTATTATGTCTTCTCACTAGTCATTTAGATATAGCCCCCACCAACATGCATCAAGTTATGTTAACATTGACGCAACAAATCTTTCAAAACGAGTTCCAAACCGTCATTCCCCTTGTGTTGATTGGCCGAATGTTTCAACATTATTTATAAAACTTGATAAACGCATGAAATTGAGGCTGAAAAAACAAACAAATTAGTAATAACTTCACTGTATAGGGGTACTGTGCAATTGAAATTTCGGTTACGTCATGATATGTCAATATAAACATCATTACTGTAGCATGTTTCTAGGTCTTCATAATCTGCGATTGAACACTTCATATTCTAAGAAAGTATGATGTCTTCCAGCAAGAGTTCGAGATTCTCTCTATGTGAAAGCATCTTAATAATGGAAAAGATAAGCATGTTTGATCTGTAAGTTGAGTTGGGTGAATCTGACCCCTAGAGGTTATAAAAGTGGCCTATTGTTTGCTTACACCGTTTCTTAGAGGGCGCTCTCTCGGGGCAAACTGCTCCATGATTGAACTTCTTATATCAATTCGATAGCGTTTGAATAGCGGTGGTTATTAAGCGGGCTTGTCGGGAGTTTATAATGTAATTCAGTGAGAAGCTTGAAACAATACGCGACCGGACCGGATACTGAATATCCGGGTAGGTGGATTTCTGGCGACCTCTCCCTCTGACAGTAGGGCCTTGAAATTAAAGTATTGTACCTTCATAACGAATATAATCGTTGTATTTTTATTATATTTGTATGTTATTTTTACATATGTCATCGTTACCAGCATGTATGTAGCATTTTAACAATTTTTGATTTATTTTAATTGATATACATATTATATCGAGAGACGTATCGCGAACTGACAACACCGGGGCCTATGGGCACGTATCCGATTGTATGTAAACGGCAATTAAGCGAATGATCCACCCTGTGTAAACTTACTCACGTGTTACGACTTGAACAATTAATACAGGTTATATTGATTTACAGATTCAAGAAGATGACCTTCCGGGGATGCCGTAGATATATTTACCAGTGCTGTTAATTCTTTAACCACCACGCTTGTTTGTCATGTCTGTTCGGCATTTCAGGCGATGACAGCGTAATATGCTAATAATTAGGTTAACGTAAGTGTCTATGATTGGCTAAATGTTCATGTCTTCTACTATGTGATTGGCTAAGTGTAATCTTATATGGCGTTGGTTTGTATCAGCGGCCCGTTGAAAATATGTTTACCATATTTAAACTTATGTACTGTGGGGGTGAAATAAAGGCCACTCTCAGCTGAGAGAGCGACGGAGACACGAACTGTTCCTCGTGTGTGTAATACTCAGTGTACAAGTCTGAAATAAGTATACAATTCCGATCTCGTGCGTCCCGAGTGACAACAGAACGGCAATTTAATTGTCACATACCCTACAACACTGAGCCATAAGACAACATGACCTGGAAGGATTGTAAGGTAAATATTTTCATACTGATATTTCGTACCTGTGTATGCTTGCTGACACACATATGTGGACAAATTGGCAATGTATATCTAATGGTCAGCCGCCCCTTATACACACAATGATAAAATAACGATTGCAAAGTAAATACTAGTTTAATATAACAACGAGCACAGTGACTGGTCCGAAAATAAATATTGATGTCAATGATACACGAATTAATTAGAAGAAAACATACAATATATTCGTTCAATTAAGTTGTAGACATATTTTAAAGCATAGTAAAATTTCTATTCCTATCCTAGTTTTATGTATTAAACGAAGTAAAATTTAACTCGTAGGCTAATGTGTTATGAGAAAAAAGTTGTTGCACCATTGTAGCATATACTTCCTCGGAAATTAAAACCAAATTTGAAATGCCGAATAATGGATTCATTTCTCATTTTATCGAGATGTGTCTGAAAGTAAAAAAAAAAATAAACAACTAAAGCAGGCCTTATCGTGGCTGGTGTAGGATTCTACTATTCTATAAAGGGTTCATACCACTAATTGAATTTCCATAGACGACAATGTTAACATATGACGAGATTGATATATGAAAATGATGAAGAAAGTTGAAAACATGGCTCAAAAATGGGAAATCAACATGCCAGTAATCAACCATATGAAAAAACTAACATGTTGGCCCAACTCTTGCAAATCTCAGGTAAACAAGACACACCTACTGTATTTGGATTGCACCAAGAAAAATCACTGGGAAAACACCAAGATTAGAACATCCAAATACACACAGAATAAACCCACAGGTACACAGCCGCTAAGTAGTAAACAGAAGACCACATGTTGGTCTCACTTCTGACCCAGGTGATTACGCCCTCAAAAAGAGAGCACCTGAGAAAAAAAAAATATTTAAAAAATTTCATTGGTTCTTGCTAGGCATTTAAATTGCCATTGAATGATTAGTGGCATGAGACCTAAAGTAATTCATGCCTAAATATTTATTCGTTTGCCGCTGTTAAATATTTCATGTAACACAATATCTGAAGGCAGAAACTTGCCAAATTTGGAGTTTTGGGTTAAATCTAACACGCTCAAGGTTTTAAATTTGATTATCATGAACCAGTGTTCACATACACTGTATACGTTGCATGGAACCCATATCATAGTCGTCGCAGTGTGACGTATTCCACCATTTAATGTATGTATAAATTCAATAAATCCGACCTCGTGGATCAGCGACAGAGTTTACTAGCGTTAATCAATATCGAGTAAAGGTGCTCATATTTGTGTATACAATTTTGTGGAATTGGTGGGAAACCAAAGATGTTAAAAATATGTTGATCTGCTTATATAAATCACTCTTAGTTTTTATTTGAAAATATATAAAAATAGGTATTTTTTTTTCTTTTTGCCGATAATAACAATTAAGTTATAAAAATAATAAGTGTTCTTTCCAAGCATAAGTTGTCGTACTTGAAAACTAAAAAATATAAATTTACCAAGGTTTAATTGTATATATGGGGTTTGATTCTGAAATGATGAAATAAACTTTATCTCTGTAGGTGGGGAGTAGTAATACTGTGCAATAAACTTTAACCTTAGGGAGTTATTTTTGGGACAAACTAATGTAAAGTGGTATTCGTCCTCAATTACACTACAGCCAGAAGGACACAACCTCTGGTTACGTGGAGTACCACTGGCCCTACCCTTTTCAATTTGTAGTGCATGGAACGAGATCCTTAATCTACATAACGCATTTCTGTATATTGCAGAAGACTGACCAATATTTGTGAGATATTTCTCACATGGTAATTCATGTTTCACCTTACAATAAGTTACAAGTTTGGGACTTCTATTAATTTCACAGAGCTCCAATCCTGTCTGGAAATATCAAAGCACCTCTGTTTAAACAGTTCCAAGAATGCAATAGAATTACTTACATATTGGTCAATCCAAATATGTCCAAAACCATATTTATAGAGAAGATTTTAACTGTCAAAACCCAGCAGATAGTACCTGCTCCTGCCATATTAATTTTACATTTATACGATTCTTTTAAAATATGTGGAGAAACATCACTTGTTAATTTTAACCAAAAACGAATAATTTCAACATTTACATACACTCTAAGATAGTGCCGTCCCAATTCTCCCCTAACAGCGGAATTAGTGGCAACAAAACTAACACTTAGTAAATATTTACACAATTTATTGTGTACTCTCTCCACATCATTATAATATCAGAATGTGTGCCCCAAATAGCACTACCGTAGAGGAGAATTAGGAGGATTTTACAATCAAATATACGAAATGCAACATCAGGTGGCACACCACCCAGATTCTGAAACTTTGATTCCAAACAGAAAAGTGCTTTACTAGCCTGTTGAGAAACATATTTTTGTGCCTGTTACCACTTTCCAGAACTGGAAAGTATAACCCCCAAATAATTATATTTTGAAACAATTGCAATGCTTTTACCCTTCCAAAACCATTTTTTACTGTTTTTTAAACGACCCCCTTTCCGAAAAACAATAATTTTAGTTTTCTTAAGGTTCACTGTAAGTCTCCACCTTGAACAATAGTCTACCAAATTATCCAATAATCGTTGTAAACGAATAGGTGTACTACTAAACAGAGCCAGGTCATATGCATACAATAGGTAACACGATTTCAGAGCACACAGGTAAACTACAGTTTCATGACCTTGTCGAAAAGCTATATGAAGATCATTAATGTAGAAACAAAATAAAAGAGGTGAAATCACAGAGCCCTGTTGCAAACCCATACGAATATTTAAGTAAATAGTTACCCCTAGGGAGTTTCCACAGATGCCATTACATGCTGGTACATTGAATATAAGGAATTAAATAATTTGCCTTTGAGACCGGTTTTGGATAATTTGATTTACCCTATCGAAGGCCTACTCATAGTCTACAAATGCACAATAGAAACGACCTTTTAACCGAAAGACATATTTTTTCACAAGAGTACGTATAATGAAAACATTATCCAATGTGCTTCTATGTTTCTGGAAACCACTTTGTTCTACAATTTCATTATAATGTTTTAACCAGGTATTTAACCTATTACTTAATATACTTGTATAAATTTTACTTATGACGTTTAATAACATAATACTCCTTTAATTACCGGGTTCATCCTTGTTTCCCTTCTTGTATACAGGCAATATTAATCCCCTACCCCATTCATTATGAAAAATTTCCTGGTCGAATACCTTGTTGTATAAAACAAATAACATTTCATGGATTTCTATGGGAGAATTTTTCCAAAATTCTGTGGGTATGCCATCTGGTCCTGGGGCTTTATTTGTCTTTGATTTACTTCGATTGTCCCTAATTTCATCAAAGAAAT